ACAGGCGTGTGCCACCATGCCCAGCTAATTTTTGTATTTTTAGTAGAGACAGGGTTTCACTATGTTGACCAGGATGGTCTCGATCTCTTGACCTTGTGATCCACCCACTTCAGCCTCCCAAAGTGCTGGGATTATAGGCGTGAGCCGCCGTGCCTGGCCTAACTCCATTTTTTTTTTTTTTTTTTTTTTTGTACAACATTGTACCACTGGGTTCCAGTGCCCCATTGCAGTGGGAGTTGTATCAGTCATATACGAGACAATGGTCTTCAGCTAGATGCTAAATATAAAGTGTAGTTCTGACCAGGAAAGGAGTGAAACGTCCCAATCTCCTTCTCACAACTGCAACAGAAGGTGGAAAAAAGGCAAAGACATGCTTGGCCAGAACACTGGTATCAAGAAGACATTCAGCTAACAGTAATGTTGCAGAGCAGAATATGAGAATAACACTGTCCTTAGTGATTCCAGGAACACTTGAGGGATGCTTGAGAGGAGCTGACATCCTAAGCGAATAGACAGGGCCAAGTTATTTTAAATTTCTTGTTAAGATGGTGTCTTATTTTTTCTCAAGCTTCTATTAACATAGTAAACTACAAAGATATTTCATCATATTCCACCAAGGAGCTGCAGATCTCACTGCTTCATAAGTAAACTTTTATATTAGATGCAAAATAAAATGTTAAATAATAACAATGAAAGCATTGAAAAGAACCAAATATCTATATTTCAATTCATTTATTAGATAAAAGGAAAGTACAGGTTTTTGCTAGGATCTTGATAGAAAGATAACATCATGGCAATGGTTAAGAAAAATAAAGCAAATTGAGAAGAACAAATTAGAGTGGTTATACATGAATATGCTCTCAGATGACAGATTCCGAAAGTAAAAAGACAACACATACTTATAGCAGCAGCTTAACCATTGATAAATACCTATCCATTGATGCCAAAGACAATAATAGATGTTTCTGGAATGAAAGCACAGGATAGGACCAAACACATTTGGAAGTTTCTCCTCTGCTTCCAATTTTAGCAAGTCATTTAGTAAGAGCCAGAGAATCCATATCCTCCATAGCATGATGGACGGCAGCATCCATATCTGTAGCCTCCAAAGCCAGAGCCATATCCATAGTCTCCAAAGCCAGAGCCATATCCGTAGCCTCCATAGCCACAGCCATAGCCCACTCTGCGGAAGCTGCCACATCCACAGCCACAGCCATAGCCCAGGCCACCGAAGCCTCCACAGCCATAGCCCAGGCCTCCGTAGTAGCTGCCGTAGTAACTCATGGTGTCAGGAGTAGTGAGTTGATTTGCTGTTCAGCAAGATCCTGAGTGTGAATGCCAGCATGTGTATAAGGAGGCTTATATACCCTGGTCAGAGCATGTAACGAGCATGCGCCCCTCTTTTTGTGTCATTCCATGAATTATACTTGCTTGAGGCAGCTCGTTAATCTATTGTCCCCTGACAACACTCTGTAAGAATGCCTGAGCTTGTTTGGCTACCTAGTTAGGTTGTCCCTGAGCGTGTTGCTTTGATTTTATTAGAAGGGATTGCTGTTTCTTCAAAGTCTAAACATACCAAACCCTAAATAGAATTATTTATTACCAGTCACTTAACATCAGTAACATTAAATATTCTTGAATTTCTAATTAAATATATTCTCATCACAAGCATTTTTGGAAGTTGTTATAATTGATTCTACAAAATTTCAAGAACTAGTCAAGGTCAAGACTCTTAAACCCATCAATTTTTTCATAAAGCACACATATTTTGTAGCATGTGAAGCAAGAAAGATTTGATTCACCCGTGTATGTCTCTGAAAGAAACAAATGTCCCCTAATTTGTAGACTTTTAAAACTCTGATCATGCACAGTTGTTATATTTATTTTGGGCTTTGCACACCAGCATGTGAAACATTTGTTTTGTTTCAAGAATATAGCACAATTGTAGTCACAAGTAGAGAGACTTTTACAGGGATAAAAAGTCCATCTCATGTGAAGTCTTTCCAGAGTTTTCTATTTATATCCCAAGTCCCTTTTCCATGATATGTTCTACCCTCACTGTTACCCAAAAATTAGGATTATAATCTGCTTCCATACAGGATGGTTTCTCTTTCTCTACTTTTTGTCATTAATTCACCTCTCTTGTATCTTTTGCTGATCTCACTTGAAACTTCACCCAACTTCTTTTTCTCCACAATTCATTACTATATCCAGGTAAAGTTTGAAGCAGGCAAAATGCTCTGGCTACAACCTATTTACTTAAATCAACATTTATTCTTTCCATGTAGATCTCCATAGTCAATATTTGCTCTTGTCTTTGTCTATTCAGTGCCTATGTTTTTTGTTGTGTTTTGTTTTCAAGTGCTTTCTAGTTAGCCTTTTCTAAGATATCAACTAGATCTTTCTAAGATATTGATTACAGTGTTTCTTATTTCTGACATATTTCAACTCTTCAAATTATCCGAAATTTTAAAAATATTTGTGCAACTTAGAATAACAAGAAATTCTCTAAACGCGAGGCACAAATTATGAAAAATAGAGAAAAGAAGGAGTAGCTCTTTAGGGAGAGCTGACCAGAGTCCCTCAGCTCAGCCCAGGCAGTTAGAAATACCCAAGCCTTCCCTCATACCTGATTAAACCTCATCCAGATTTACCTATGTCTTGAAACTTGGAACTCCAAAAACATATCAGTTTTATATGACTATAATCATACTGCTAAGCTTTGTTTTTAGATTTATGAGTAGTTGAATGACATTTTAAAAAGTTTTACTTCATTTAAAATTTTTATTGATACATATTTTATATACTTATGAGACACATGTGATATTTAATTACATGTATAGAATGTACATTGTTTAAGGTAGAGTATTTGAGATATTCATCACTTTGCATATTTATCATTTCTTTCTGTTGGGAATAAATCACGTTCTCTCTTCTAGCTACTGTGAAATACACAATAGATTGTTGTTAACTATAATCACTCTACAATAGAACTTACACCTTTCATCCAACTTTTATCACCCCTACACCCACACACTCATCCCAGCCTCCAATATCTATCATTCTGTTCTCTACATTCATAAGATCAACATTTTAGCTCCCATTTATGAATGAGAACATGTAATATCTGTCTATTTCACTAAACATAATGACTTCCAGTTCAAGTGACACTGTGTTTTTTGTTTGTTTGTTTTACAACGCGGTATTTTTCTGACCTGCTGAGTGTCAAAATAAAGCCTTGTATTTAGCTGATATTCAAAAATATTATTTGAATAAATTACATGACTTTGACATCAATGCAAGGGCCATGAATAGCATAACATGAGCAACTTACTGGCTATTCTGGGAAATGTTGTAAGGCTGAACATGAGTTCCAACAAGAATTCTGCTGTCAGAGTAGCATTTAACCAAACACTAGCCTTCCTCTTTGATATCTGTGTTACTATAACCCAATCTCATCTCATTTTTATTCTCCATTTCAGAAAATCAGTCAAGTGATAAAATGTGGGTAACCCCCGTATAGGTACCGAGGAAGAGAGCTAAGCAGAATTCTGGCACAATTAGTGCCTGAAGAATATCTCAGTTTATGGTGTTACTACTAAGTTATCTTCTTTTATATAATCCTTTATATATAATCATATATTAGTTTATAGAATTAGAGCCTGAAGAATATGTCAATTTATAATGTTACTACTCAGTTATTTCCTTTTATATAATCCTTTATATAGAATCACATGTTAGTTTATAGGATTAGAGCTTGAAGAATAGCTCAGTTATAGTGTTACTACTCAGTTATTTTTCTTTATATAATCCTCTATGTATAATCATATATTAGTTCATAGAATGAGTGTCTAAAGAATATCTTACTACTCAGTTATTTCCATATATATGGAAATATATATATATATAATCTAAGATATAGATTATAATCAGAGGAATGCCTAGAGTAGACAAGGTACAGAGCATGAATTAAGGAATAAGCAGCTTATAGTCGGAGGAATGTCTGGAGCAGACACAGTGCAGAGCATGATTTAAGGGAAAAACAGTTATATCAGGAAAAGAATCCACAGCCCAGGCGGCAGCATTCAGTATCATAAAGATACTCGCTGTATGGCAGGCTTGGGGCAAGAACCACTGCTCCTGATAAAGGAGTTTTGACCATTTCTTGAAAGAATGAGGTTTCATTGAAATTTATCTTCATTCATATATACATATATATATATATATATACTTTGTTCATATATACACATATATGTATATATGTAGATATATATGTGTATGTATATATGTGCATATATGAGTATATATGCTTCATATACATATGCATATGTGTATATGTATGTATATATACACATATGTATATGTATATATACATATATGTATATATACCTGTATATATACATATATACACATATACATATATGTATGCGCATATGCATATAATATATATGCATATAATACATATATGTATATGCATATGTGTATATGTGTGTATGTATTATATGCATATATATGTATATGCACATACATATATATGCATTATACCTAATAGACATATATGTATATGTATATATATAATGCATTGTATATATACATGTATATATGTATACATATATATATATATGTATGTTTTTATATAGCCACTGTGTGCCTGGAAAAGCTGCAGACACTCAATGCTAGCAGTGAAAGCAGCCAGGAGAACTATGCCCTGCAGGGCCATGGAAGCAGAGCTGCCCAATGCCCTGGGAGTCTACCCCTTGCATCAGTGTGTCCTGGATGTGAGACATGGAGTAAAAGGAGATTATTTTGAAGCTTTAATATTTCATGCCTGGCCTACTGAGTTTTGGACTTGTTTGGGGCCTATATGTTTTGGCGAATTTCTCCCTTTGGAATGGGAACATTTACACATTTATACCTGTATCCCCATTGTGTCTTAGAAGTAAGTAACTTGTTTTTGAATCCCCTTAAGGTAACAGATACTGTGTTACTAAAGCAGCAGCTTAGAAGCCAGTGAATCCATATCCTCTGTACCATGATGGGTAAGAGCAGCCATCTCCATAGCCTCTGTAGACACAACTATATTTACAGCCTCCATAGCCATAGCCATAGCCCAATCTGTGAAAACTGCCAAATCCACAGCTGTAACCATAGTCCATGCCACAAAAACCTTCATAGCCATTGTCCAGGCCTCTATAGTAGCTGTCATAGTAGCTCATGGTGTCAGGGATAGTGAGTTCTGTTTGCTGTCCAAGGCAAGGATTTGAGTATGAATATCAGCATGTTTAGGGAATGCTTATATACCCTGAGCAGAATATGTGATAAACATATGGCTATCCTTTCACAGCATTCCAATTTATTTATTTACTTGATGCAAATAATCAATCTGTTTGTTAGCACAAGGAGAGACACAAACTCATTAAAATATTTGAGCTGGCTTAGTTGCATGGTTAGAGTGTCCTTGAACTTTTTTTTTTTCTTTTTTAGATGGAATCTTTATCTTGTTGCCCAGGCTGGAGTGCAGTGGTGTGATTTTGGCTCACTGCAACCTTTGTGTCCTGGGTTCAAGTGATTCTTCTCCCTCAACCTCCCAGGTACCTGGGATTACAGGCACCTGCCACCATGCCCAGCTAATTTTTGGTTTTTTAGTAGAGATAGGGTTTTGCCCTGTTGTCCAGGCTGGTCTTGAACTCCTGACCTCAAGTGATCCATCTGCTTTGGCTTCTCAAAGTGTTGGGATTACAGGCGTGAGCCACCATGCCCAACCAATACATTTTTTTAAAACGACAAAATAATCTGCGTTACACAATCAAAAAATCCAAAATAGAATTCTTCATCACTAAGCATATTGAATTATTTGTATTTGACAAAGTGTTTTCATTAAATATTTTCTCATTTCTCATTTTATATAATTCCTTAGATTGTTCTATTTTACCACCGCTTAAATACATTGATCAAGCTTAAAACCTTTAAATCTATTAAAGCCTTCAAATATCAAATATATTTATTGAGTTGAGAAATTAAGGCTATCCCTCCTTCAAAAGAAAACATACTCTTGAAGAAATAAATTTTCTGATTAGCTGTAGTAAATACAAAGTAATGAAAAATACCTAGTAGGCATAATATAAAACTACTTTAACTTCTGTATTCAGCTTGCAAAACATTATTCTGGCTTATCAACGTAATAAACAAACTCACTTTTACACCAGCCTGAACAGCTATTCAAAAATATTCTCTCCAGGTGGGGCACAATGGCTCACTCCTGTAATTCTGGAGGCCAAGGTGGAAGGATTTCTTGAGCTCAGGTCTATTAGTTTGTTTTACACTGCTGATAAAGATATACCTGAGACTAGGAAGAAAAAGAGATTTAATTGGACTTACAGATTCCACATGGGTGGCCTCAAAATCATGGCAGGAGGTGAAAGGCACTTCCTGCATGGCTGCAGCAAGAGAAAATGAGGAAGAAGCAAAAGCAGAAACCCCTGATAAACCCATCAGATCTCATGAGACTTATTCATTGTCATCAGAATAACATGGAAAAGACCAGCCGCCATGATTCAATTATCTCCCCCTGGATCCCTCCCACAACACGAGGGAATCATAGGAGATACAATTGAAGTTGAGATTCAAAGGGGACCCAGCCAAATTATATTACCAGGAGTTTGAGAATAGTCTAGGCAATATAGGGAGACCTTGTCTCTATGAAAAAATTAAAAAATTAGCCAGGTGTGAGGATTCACGTCTGTGGTTCCAACTACTCAGGAGGCTAGGGCAGGAAGATTGCTTGATCCCTGGGAGGTTGATGCTGCAGTGAGCCGTGATCGCACCACTGCACTCCAGCCTGTCACAAACAAGTCTATTTATACCATTATGCACTTTTCCAGAATTTGCTCTGCCTAAAATGTTACCTAAAAATTCAGATTACTTTGGCTTCATGCTTTACAGATACCACTTTTCTTCCACTTCCTACTCAAAATTCGTTCCACCTTTATTTTTGTTCTGACAAAGAAAACTGGACAGATTTTTTTTTATTCTCCACGAGTAGTTTTTGAAAACAAACAATTAATTTAAAAAAATCTAACTAGTTTAAGAACCTCATGAATTCTTGGGTAAACCTGCTAGATTTTATAACCTTCATGTTAGGCTAATATACATTGCTGTTTCTGATGCATATAACCATGTCCAAGGGAAATATAATCCAATGGATTTTACAAATGAAAGTCACATTTTATTATTTATTATAAATGAAATATTATTTAATAGAATGTGCTGTTTTACTTAGTATTTTCAAATAACAAAATAATAAGATATATCTCATTGTGATACACAAATACACATATGTAGATATATGCACATATGATTATATAATGCTGTGAAATATATTAACCAAAACACCCAAATCCTTCTGCTTTTTTCCTAATTTAAAAGTAGAACAATTATACTATCTTTTTTGGATAGTGATTCTGAAATTCTGTTGGAAACTGAGAAATGTTCACTTTTCTGATTTTTTTTTCTCTTAATTCAATGGACTCAATGACTTGCACAATTATTTCTCTGTTATGTTGTCTTTGGGAGATTTCTCCAGGAAGATAATGAGCTAATTGTGAAACTGAGATCCTGTGTTCATATGTGTAATAATGAAAATTAAGTTTTCTATTGGCCAAATGATAACTTTTATTTGAAAGACAAAGACATTTTTCCATAAATTCAAAACATTTTTCTTTAAGACACATACAAATGAATTAAATAAATAATAAGATGTAATAAAATTTGATAATGCATTTGAATAAAAGTAAAATATACAATGTTTCTCAATGTAATCACATTGATGGATGTTTTTATTTTTAGCTCTATAGGGCATGTCCATTGACTTTGAAACTATTAACCTGAAAAAATAAGTGCAAAATAATGGAAACACACGACTGTACCTTCCATTTCTACATATAGTGTTCCTGTAACACCCAGACTGAATTGACTAGAAAAATAGCTGATATTACATGACTAAATAAGTTTAACATTGTGACTTTCAAATGAAAACTTTAATCTTTTGAAATAGATATACCCATACAGATAAATATAGGTATACTTATAAGTACATATATATATACATATAGATATGCATATAGATGTTACAGTTGAAATCTAGATGAAGATAACACCAAAATTAAGAGGTTCAATTCTCTAAATCAGAACACTAAAATATTATAGAAATAGTGATTCTAAGAAACCATCTTTATGTCCCCCATAAATTCAGTCATGTTATGGAAACTAAGCAGAACTTTCAAGATATCCTCTTTGGTTTCATGAAGGGAGAAAATATACTGGGAATAAAGACTTCATGGTGACACCTGCATTCAGAAGACCTTGGCAATAACCCTGATCCTGACTCTGCCACTAGAACTGGTGTAAGTTTTCTGAACGTTTTTGCTGTTGTCATGGTTGTTTAACCTAAAAGATTAAATGAATGTAACTGCTACCACTTAATGACTGTTCTAGTTCAGCAAGATTTGGTGCTACTGTGTGACTCAATCAAACACATTTAACAAGTTTTGACCAATTTAAACAAAATGTCTTGATTTTGTATTGTTTGTTGAATATATCATTTTACTTTAGAAAAAAGTTGATATTCATTTATGTCTGTTTAAATTTTCATCAACAAAATGCTCCCCTTCTTCCTATTTTTATCAGGAGAGTGGTTTAACTGCAATTCAGCTTTGTAAGAAAGCTCTTTGGATCAAAGTGTTCTTGTCATCAGCTTAAGCTAAAAAATAAATTCATTGACAATAAAGTCTTGTTTCTTTCCTTTGTTAAGTTGCAAATTTTTGATATAATGATAATGGTGAAGAAGATAGCCATATCATGCCATGAAGATTAAGTATGATAATAGAAAATCTAGTTGAAAAAAAAATTAGCTAAAATGTTTTGAGTTAAATAGGTTAATCCAATGTGAAAAAAATTCTATACTAATTTAATAGTTACATACATCAGTTGTTCAATGGAAATGTCAAATAAATTAATGTGTGGAAGAGTATGATAGGGTGAGGTTATACCAAATACAGTAATCCTTGGAAAGATAATAAACTTTCATAATTAACCTAGTAATGTGGTTTGATCTGTCACCATTTTCTTGCTTTTACGACAAATAAAAATTTTGAATGAATAGAAGGATTCATTACACATTTGTAATTACTTAACAAATACGTCCTGAATTAAATAAAAGATATATGCTTGATATATAAATATATAGACATGTTAAGTTGGTATTAATTTTTGTTGTTGCCTTAAATCTGAATATTATCTAAATAAAAGCAAAATGTTGAAAAACACCAGATTTTTAACCACTTTGAAGTTCTTGTTTTCATTTTAATCTATCATTATATATTCTTTGGAGCTAGTTATTTATCTATCTGCATGCATGTTTATGAGGTATGTGAAAAAACTTATATAAGATTCTCAGCCAAGGAGATAGCTTCTGTCACTGACAATTGGGTAGAATGCAACCGTCATCACTTACATATAACTGAGTTTCATGAACAAAACAGAACCATATTATGTTTTCAAATTAGAATGTTTTATTGGAAGACAAATAGATACTTCAACCAGTTATAAAAGCAAAAGTAGAGGATAACAGGATTATGATAGAAATATGGGTGAAAAGGGAAAAATTGCCTGAAGTTCTGAGATGTTAAATTATTTTGTGCAAATAGCTCCAGCATGATCTTGGTTGTCCGATGGTTGAAGTCGGCTTTGGGATGTCCTCTTGTAATTTGAAACACTGTGTTGCTGGAGCAGTAGTTTAATAGAATCCAGAGAACCCATATCCTCCATAGTATGATGGGTAGCAGGAGCGGTATCCATAGCCTCCAAAGCCAGAGCCATATCCATAGCCTCCATAGCCACAGCCATAGCCATAGCCCATTCCGCGGAAGCTGCCATATCCACAGCCATAGCCACAGCCCAGGCCGCCGAAGCCTCTGCAGCCACAGCCCAGGCCTCCGTAGTAGTTGCCGTAGTAGCTCATAGTGTCACAGGTGTTGAGTTTGGTTTGCTGCTCAAGGCAAGGTTCTGAGTGTGAATGTTGACATCTGTGCTGGCATGCTTATATACCCTGACAGAGCACCTGACAAACACCTGCTGCCTATTTTAGTGTAATTCTGTATGTTAAACTTAGCTGACCCAATCCTGACATCTGAGGAAGCCCTCAAACTAATTAAAGTGTTTGAGCTTCCATTGCTGTCTTGCCATGCCGTCCCTGTAACATATTGCATCACTTTTATGAGAAGAAATTGCTGTAGCTTCAAAGTCTGTACATACAAGACCTCAAATAGACTTCTTCGTAGGCATATTGTATTACACGGCTGGTAATGCTATGTTTTGAAATTAAGTGTTGCTTCATCTCTGGCTTTCCTGGAATTGTTTTGCTTCATTTATGATTAAATAAAAGACCCTGGTTAAATTCAAGGCCCTGAAATGTATTACATTCTTTCAGAGGTATCTTTTACCTCAGGTGAGGTCCCTTTTCAAAGGGAAGAAAGCATTTGAAAGACTGGAGCCATCTGCTCTCCTGCTATGCATAACAGTAAAGAACTTCACGGGGTAAAAAAGTTAAAGCCATCGTTCTCCTATTATTCTAGAACATTGGCCATCATAATGAATATTCTCTTTTATTTTGTTTTACTAGTTAAAAAAATAAAAACAATTTTGATTTAACAACATAATAGAATATTCCTCAAGCACTGAAGTCAAATCACAGTAATCAAAAATCTGTTTTATAAGCAGCTTTACAAACTGTTCAGTTTTTTTTTTAATATCCTGACTCCCTTACTGGCATATTAGACATCCAAGGTGCTACCAAAAATACAGGTTATATTGTCCTGCTCTCTTATAAACACCATTCATTCCCTTTCCCTGATCCACACAACTGTCCTCTTATCAATACACTCTTTTAATTCCCATTAGGGTCTGGGACTAAGTGAGATGAAGAAATATATGAATTCTCTTTGCCTCCCATCAATTTTCATTTAATACTTACTTAAATTCATATATTATATAATATTTTCATTTTTTCATATTTTTGCCTTTATATTCCTTTTATCTATCGTGCATTCCTTTTTTTTCCTAAAAGAAAAATAGCTAACTAGTCTTTACTAAGATGTTAAGTATTTATTAAAGCGCTAGATGTTACAAAAATATGTCATGGCCAAAGATCCTGGGAAATTCAGTAAGAGACTGTTAGCACTGTGAATGTATTAGAAATCCCCCAAAATATGTGTAATGTAAAAACACAGCATGAAGAAAATAACAATTAAAGACAAAGAGTACCTCAGCTGACTCTAAGAAGTTAGTCACACAGACCTAAGGCTGATCTCAAACCCCACCCACATAGGCCCTTAACTTTAGCTTAAATATATAATTTCTTATTGGATTTTTATTATTTTGAATATACTGTTCAGCTTTTGATGAGTTTATGAGTAATTTTCAAATTATAGTTTCAAATTACACATTTTTCCAACTAGATTTATTGGCTGCAGTTCAATGACCAGCATGAAATAGAAACTCAATATATAAATATTGAATAGACAAATGACTTCTAAAGTTCTTACAGGTAAAAATGTTACATCTCATTAGAATGAACAATACTATAAATGTATCCAAAAATAAGGATTTAGAAGAGAAGTCAGCTCAAATAGCTTTCTTTCTTTAGAGGAACAAATCACCTATCATTTTATTTGCTTTTTTGTTGCTATTGTTTAAGGTATATTTAAAAATACTTAAATCTTAAGTATACAAGTTGGTGATATTTTGCTTATACTTATGGACCACCCATATCAAGCATACTGTAATTCCCCATGTCTGTCTCTTGACTCTACCAGTCAATATTATTGCTCGTAGAGTAACTATTAACTTCCTAGATGAGGTTTTCTTGTTGCATACTTCACTTTGGTGGTCTCATACAGTATACTGACATTTTCCATTTCCATCCCCAATTATTCTGTGTATCACTGTCTGTTTGGTAGATCTCTATCACATGTAATGTGAATTTTGTTGTTTTAATTTGTGAAGAGTAGTCTACTACATGAATAGAGCACAACTGATTTATGATTCTACTCTGGTAGACCCATATTTGAAGAATTTGGTGGTTTCAGTTTTGATTTGGTTTTGGTTTTGCAGCTAGCACGAACAAAGAAAGCTTCTATATACCTTCTTTAAAGATTCTTTTTTTTCTTTTCTATTTATTTATTTATTTATTTATTTATTTTGAGATAGAATCTTGCTCTATCACACAGGCTGGAGTACAGTGGCACTATCTCAGGTCACTGCAACCTCCACCTCCCAGGTTCAAACTATTCTCCTGCCTCAGCCTCCCAAGTAGCTGGGAGTACAGTCATGCATCATCATTCCCAAATGCAAAATAATTTTGTATTTTAGTGGGCTGAGGTTTCACCATTTGGTCAGGCTGGTCTCAAACTCCTTACTTTAAGTAGTCCACCTACCTAGGCCTCCCAAAGTGCCAGAATTACAGGAGTGAGCCACCACATCCAGCTAAGATCCTTACTTTTAGACCTAGACTTTCCTATAACTTTGTTATAGCTGGTATAAGAATTGCTAATTTGTAACATAGCTATACTTATTTCATACATTATATATAATTATATATCATCATAAATAACAAATACTATTATATATTATATAATATATATTTAACTTCCATAGTTTCTACCAGTCTCAACATACAGTATTATATTTATGAGCTGTTAAATTTACTGTGCCAACAGGGACATTTGAGAGTTTCAGTTGCTTCACATTCTACCCTACAGGGATCGTTTTCAAACTCTTTAAAGAATTGACCGTTCTTGTGAATACTTAGTGATATCTAAATATTATTTTAATTTATCTTTATTTGATTAATAATGATATTCAGCAATTTTACATATGCTTATAGGCCATTTAGATATCTTTTTTTTGAGATGTCTCATTAAGTATTTTGTGCATTTTTAATTGGGCTAGTAATATTTTTTATTTATTTTCAAGAGATCTTTACATATTTGGGTATAGATGTTTCATCAGATTTATGTATTAAAAATATTTTCATATGATATGTAGATTTTTTTACCTTAAAATGATGTCTATACATAAATAAAATGTAATAATGTAATAAACTCCCATTTTAAAGTCTTTTTGTTTTGTGTTTAATGTTTTCAGTTCTAGTTTTAAAAATTTTGACTATCTCTCACATTGTTATTTAAAACTTTTGTCTGTTTTCTTTAGACTTGTTCTGTTTTTGTGATTATTTTTAAAAAGGCAGTTGGTAATTTGAATATTGCATTTTTTATTAACTCAAGCTAAAGCAACATAATCAGAAATAAATCAAACAGGTTTCAGATACTGCCAAATATGCATCTATTTGGGGGCTATGGTCTTGTTGTAATGGATTCTTCCTAAGATAAGTGAAGCTCTTCTCTGAAAGTAAAGATATTCTGGAATACTTCTTTTAAATCCTGCAGTGACCCATAAAATTAATAAATTCAAGTTCTATTAATTTAGTCATACTTCATGGTACTAGAAGTATCAAATGCTTCCCTAAGTAGTGAAATTGATTATTATACTTATTTGTAGCTATAGAAGGCCTTTACCTGTATTGAAGTAAACTACCTCTCACGAGTAGGAAAATGGAAGAGCTATTGTCATACTCTGTCAAACTAAGTAGTGTAGTCCTCCAATAGAATTATTAACCAGTCAAGGGACAGTGTATGTACTTAGACTGACTAAAAGTGTGGGACTTACTAGCAGGCTGTATAAACCTATTCTTATGTTTAGTAAAAAATGTCTGAGTCTTTCTAATTCTTCCTAATATTTTTATACCATTTGAATTTATCATTGTTTACTAATTACTTTTGTTTAGATTTAGATATGCTAGAAATTAAGAGGTTCAAGATTCATCGAAATCTTATATAAAAGGAAGCATATAGTGTGAAAAGTAGACTAATCTTCATAAATTCAGCTGTGATTGTTACATGAACATGTGACCAGAATTTTAAGATTATTGGAAGCTCTCAAGAAAAGAAATATGCAGTGGAATGGAGAGTCAGCATTTACGCAAATAGATAAATAAATAAACAGGAACTGTGTGTGCTATTTCGAATTGAGACAATTTATTGCAAAGGGAACTGAGCAATTCCACAGTTAGGAAAGTACAGATAGTCGATGTCAGCAGACATAATATAGACAATCAAAAGATAATAAATATTCCTAACATCTTAGCTGCTAAATGTTTTTTATCTTGAACTGATCCAGTGTGACCTTATTTGATTCAATATTTGGTTCATTTGGATGTTCTTATGACCTCTGATGTTGGGTCCTCAGGGTAGAATTTCAGTAGAATTTAGAGAATTCGTATCCTCCATAGCATGATGGGTAGCATCAGCCATATCCATAGCCTCCAAAGCCAGAGCCATATCCATAGCCACAGCCATAGCCCAGTTTGCAGAAGCTGCCATATCCACAGCCGTAGCCACAGCCTAGGCCACCAAAGCCTCTACAGCCCTAGCCCAGGCCTCTGTAGTAATTGCCATAGTAGCTCATGGTGTCAGGAGTGGTGAGTTGGTTTGCCGCTCCAGGCAAAGTCCTGAGTATGAATGGCAGCAGGTGTAGAGGGAGACTCGTATACCCTGGTCAGAGCACATGATGAGTCACATGCATATCTGATTTGTGTGTGTGTGTGTGTGTGTGTGTGTGTGTGCGCGCGCGCGCGCGCGCGCGTGTGTGTGTGTTTAATTAGTTACTTAACACAAATCATTCATTTTCCTCTGACACAAGGAGAGGCCCTCACATTCATTAAATTGTTTGAGCTTGCTTTGTTGCTGAGTTAGGGCGGCCCTTAAAACTTATTACATCACTTAATGAGAAGAAATTGCTGTATCTAAGGTCTTGGCATACCAGACCCTAAATAAATTTTTTCATAGCTAGACATATACATCAATCGTATTTTATAATGTTGTGTTTTTCAGTTAAATATTCCCTCATCTCTGGTTTTCTTTGAATTGCTATGCTTCACTGACAAATTA